CCCCCCCGCTGTTTATACGTTCTCGACTTCGCATCAGTCCCTGCCATGCTGTCATCCCTTGCGTCCATAGCAACTGGCTCGAGCTCCAGATCGCGCGAGCATTCTCAGCCTCAAATGCAGACGCCCGACGATGCCCTGACCTTGTCGCGTCAGCTGGTGAATAGCGACTCGGCAAACGACGATCCAAACGTCATTGCCGACGCATCCGGCACCAAGACATTGGCAGAAAGCTTGGACAGGCTGTACAAGAAGGGGAAAGGGGAAGGCGCGATGCAGCTGACGCAACCGCTCGCGGATGGCAGAGACCCGCTCAGCGTAGTCGTGTATCCCAGAGATACGTTGGTAGGACTGTATATCCTGTGAGTGCATGCGTGCTGGTGGAATGGGTCGATAGTCGAGCGTCGGCTGCCAAGCGCCTGCCCATGATATTCGAGCGCTCGCCTCTTACTGTCTGGCGCGCACCTCGCGACGATCAGCAACGCCCGTCTCAGTCTCATCAAGGACCAGCAAGCCATTGGCGCAGTGACAGTCTACATCGACGCATTGCTGGCTCGTGCTCCACCCGAATTGCTCCGCATGGCTCCCAATCGAGGTGAGGTGTTCCGCGCAAGGAGTCTCGCTTGCCTCGACTCGAACGCTCATGCGCGTGTCCTTCCTCACCAGTAACCCACCTCGCGCGTCAAATTGCAACCTTTTCAGCAACTCTGCGCAATGTGAGTGGAAGCGTGTATCTGGCGCATACCCCACGCTGATCCTCGGCATCACCGCCACTGCCTGAAGCCACAATGGGGCCTGCAGCGACTACTGCGACTGCATTCGATGAGCCCATACGAAGTGACGGTGGATGTATTGACGCCTCTGCACGCGATTGTGCTGTACGTGAGTAGCATACATGGCACCCCTGGTCCGCTGCAGGCCCCTTACCTGACAGTACGCCTCCTTTCCCGCCGTCTTTTGACAGCAAGCTCTCAAGACGGGCGATCTCGGCGCTATCGGAGCTCTTGTGGAGGTCCCAGTGCAGCACGTTGCCAAAGTGAGCTCAAGGTGGTCTTCTGTCTGGTAGCTCTTGCTCACCCACACCTCTCTTGCAGCACCCCAACAACCGCTACCTGGATGCGCTGGAATACTTTTACTATGCAGGTCTAGCGTACCTCAAATTGGATCGATTGGACGCCGCTGCTAACGCCTTTGAAACGGTGTGTAAATGCAGTGCGATGCTCTCCTGCACCTGCATCAACCTGATCCAGATTTCTGTCCTAGTGCCTGAGCGTCCCGGCTCGCGAAGTCAGCGCGATCCAGCTGGATGCATACAAGAAGCTCATTCTGGTGCAGCTCATGCTTTACGGAAAGGTGAGCGAGCGTTGTCTGCCATCGGTATCAAGATGCGCAGCATACACGGCTTACACGTTTCGGGCGCGCTCCAGACTCGATCACCGCCAAAACACGTCTCGCCGCCTTTTCAGAAGATTTTGCGCAATGCTGGTAGCTCCACTGGCACGCACCCTTCCACTCTGGTAGCCTACGAGACGCTGGCTCGCCTGTACGCTCGCGGTCCAGTGCTCAACCTGGCAGGTCAAGCTCAGGCTGCTAGGCATGTCGATCGTGGACTAGCAGACTTGCAGGAGTTCGTTGCGGCCAAAAAGGCCGACTTTGCAGCGGTGCGTGGCTGCGTCCACGAATTTACGCTTCTCTGCTGAGCCCTTGTCCACATCTCAGGACGCCAATTGGCATTTTGTACAGTCCTTGCTTGGCCTGCATCGCTTGCGGCGCATTCAACGCTTGGGAGATACGTTTGGGTCGCTCACAATCGCAGACATCATCGATCTGTTAGCTTTGCCAACTCCATCAGGCAATCGCGACCAAGTAGCGCAGCAAGTGGCGGCTGACCTGCTGTGGATCGTGAGTATGCCCACCATCTGGCTGTAGTACAGTTGTTGATCGAACGACACCTCTCCGCCAGGCTCAGCAAGGCTGGTCCCAAGCCACGATAGATGGCGACTCGACGCCGTCGCCCGAGAGCGTCGTGGTGCACTATCATCCAGCGTCTTCTGCGCAGACGGCGGGCAGCATGAATCGCGACGCTGGTACCGTGCGTCGCCTACAAGCCATGCATTCTGAATTGCACCATCTCAGCTCGGCAGTCGAACAAAAAGAGAGGACCATTGCGACGAGCGCTAGCTATCTGCTCAAGGTGCGTTTGGGCAGAGGAGGTTGACACAGGAGGCTCCGCCACCGGCTCACCGAAGCGGCAGTCCCACAGGTGCAACACAACACCCGACCTGCATATCAAGGCGGCGGCAACCTTGGCGGCGCTGGTATGGACTGTGAGTTGCGATAGCAGTGCGTCTGGTTGAGGTTCTGTCAAAAGCTGACGCTGTTGTGTCTTCCGCCAGTTGACGACTACGATGAAGGTGAGGGGCTTTTTCTACAGCGCCAGTCTGTTGATGTGCTTGTCGCTGAACCTTGCTTTTGCAGACGTATTCGGAGCTTGATGCCACGGACAAATGCGTAAACAGCGATTGCAGACGAGATGTGACCATTCGACAAGCTTCGTTGGGCCTCCTGCGAGGCGTCCCGAGGTGGTTCGTCCCATTTCTCCTTCCGTCATGAGTTCTCTGAGAACCCACCATCCGAAGGGCTTCATCCAGCTTCATCCATGCTGACAGGTACTTCGAATGCAAAGAGGCTGCGGTCATGAAGACGGTGTCCGCTGGCTCCTCGCACAAGTCGTCGTCCTCCACCAACCATGGTGCTAGTTGCCGGTTGTGAGATTCTAAACGGAGTACTTTGAACATTTGCGTCTTGTAACGTCATCGAAACAATGGGGTCGTCTGCCAGCTTCCGACGAGGCAAAAGTCATCTTCTCAATCATGATAATCTTTCGCCTGTGAATCGTCGACGTTGCTCTCGCGAATCTGATGTATACGTACGTCCATGTCTAGCACGAGTTGCTTGGCTGCCTCGGAGAAGCGGCGATATATCTCGCGCCGTTGCAGCAGATTCTTTGGGCCCCATTTGGTCGCATGATTTATCTCCAACGACCGCAAAAGCGCCAGTCGAACATGATCGATGGCGTCAATGCGCGTTTGCAGCGAGCGCTTCGTCCGGTTCGTCGAAAAGGTCCCAAAGGAGAACAAGGAGCGCACCATCAAGATTGGCGCGACCCCAACTTTAGTGAGGCGTCTTGTCTGTCAGGATTGAGTCCGCTCAACCTCAATCCTCCCGATTAGTCTCACGCTGCGCCTCTCTATGCCGGCCGACGATGCCAATGTTTGAAACTGGCACAGGGCATCTCGAGCTGCCAGCTTGAAGGTCGCAAAGAACTGCCGCGGGCAGCGCACGTTGGACGAGCTTTTCAGCGGCAAAAAGAGGCGTCAGCCGAGGCTGTAACGGTGCGAGGTGGTGCAAAGGTTTTTACCACAGGGTCCAGGTGCTGTTACGATCATGAGTCGAAAGAAGCCAGAAGGTGTGTTCGAGGATATCAGCACGTGCCTGGCAAGAGTTGGTGCGCCGAATGACACAAGCAGCAGCAACTGGCATTCGTGACTGGTGCAAAGAGCGCGGATGATGCGATAGAGCAGATTGAATCCAAGCGCGTCCAGGCTGGACGCAAGAGCATTGGCAGACGAGATGACGCCCTTTCGATTGCTTGCAGACACCCTGCGCTAGGCAGTCAGGCAAGCATCGCACGAGTACTGAAAAGTTTTACACAGACACTCCCGATCAGGCGTGGGCGAAATGTGCAAGGAGACTTAGACAGACTCGTCGGACGGAGATGGCCAGTCAGGATGAATCTTGCGCTGGTGCGTGTACCGAAGCGGGAGCCTGCAACGATCGCATTACCCTCTCTCGCGCCTCTGCTGACGGCCTCGAGTCGTTGCCCCCGAAGCGGCTCCTTTATTTCAGCAACGCATCTTGGTAACGAGCCCGTGCTCCACAGACGCGCTCGTGCGCGCTCTCTGACAAATTTTGACTCCACCGCGATCCCTTCTGTAAGTCACGCGAGGTGGTGGTGAGGGTCTTTGGTTGCTCAGGCTCAGTCGGTGTGTCAGCCAAGGTACAAATGGGTGATTGACGCGTCGGTCACATGCTCTACACTTTCGCCCTTGGTGATTGCCCCCACCCATTGCCACTGTCAATGTGAGCCTTTCGCGACGTTCCGACGACGTGACTGAAGGACGAGGCAGTAGGAAGACAACGCAAGTCGCATGCTCCTGATGGCGTGCAAAACATCACATCTCGGAAGGATGGAGTCGACTCGGAAGGAGGGAGTCGACGCGAAAGGTGCACACCGCGTGAAACTCTCGGCCGAGAAGGTATGTCGCGCGCAGAATTTGGAACCTGCAGCAGGTTGGCGCATCCCAGATTTTTGCACAGCCTTCAAAGGTCCCGCACACGCCTTCGCCTTCACTCTACCACCACCATCACATTTTTACGGGACGTTTGGCTTGCCTTGACGTGGTCATCACCGCACGGCCGCTACTGAGGCCCTGGAAAACCGTTTCGTACGCCATTCCGGCAACTCAAATAGCCGGCCGCGCCACGCACCGGGCGCACTCGCGTCGTGGCTCTGGTGTGCTGCCAGGATGGCGCCGCTTCCAGGTGCGTGCCAGAGTAGTGTGTGTTGTGTCGTCATCTGTCCGAGTCTATCCAATCTGACGCACCTCTGCACTCCTTCAGATCAAGTCGGCTCGCTTCTCTTTTGTCCTGCCTGTGGAAGTCTCTTGGACGTGCCTACCGACGAGGATGTGGTGCGCTGCACTCCCTGCGGAGGAGTGGTGGATGCCAAAGTGTACGACAATCTCTCCATCGTCACCAAATCCGCGCCCAACGCCTTTCCCTCGGCATTGAGGCAAAAGAGGACGTTGGTGCACAGTGTGGATCCAGCCGAGGCGGGCAAGAGGGCAGAGGATGCCACGATCAAGGAGAAGTGTCCAAATTGCGGCAATGAGGAGATGAGGTTTCACACGCTGCAAATGAGGAGCGCGGATGAAGGAAGCACAATCTTTTACACTTGTCCTAGATGCGCTTACAAGTTCAGCCAGTGAGTCTGGAGCGAGAGAAGCGCAGAGCGAGGGGGCTAAGCGCGTAGGCTGCAATGCTGACGTGCCCCTTTACTCCCTCATCATCTCCTTCCACGTACAGAAACAACTAGCGACGACGCTGCAGATCGCCAGTCCGCGATTGCTCGCCTCAGCCTGCAATCGAGTCAGATACCTCCTCGAAGCCCTCGCAAGTCACCCCTGTCTCGCTGCCTTGGCCCCTCTCGCGGCATACATCGTGCATCCGCTGTAATAACATCGCCCCTGCTTTCTGCCTCTTGGTCTCTCGCTATGCGCTGCGCGCCACGCTCCTGCGCTGTGCGCAAGAAGCATCGAGCTTTGTGCCCCTTCTCGCTGGAAGCCAACTGAATGCTTCGCTCCATTGACCTCTCCATTTTCGAATTGCAAATTGATCCCGATTGGTGTGCTGCGATACGAGCATCGATCCCCTTCTGGGGGGGGGCGAGGTAGAGTCGTGGCGTGACCCGCGCCCCACGGCAGGCTGGCTGGTCGTGCAGTCAGTCACGAGTCTCCCGCCGATCGCACGCATTCCGTGATTGCACACGACATCTCTCTGGCGCGTCCCGCCGGCCGCGATCAAACGAACGAGCCATCCATGCATCGCATCGCATCATATGCATGCAAGTCGCACACGGATCTGCTGCTGAGCCACTCTCGCATGGAGGCAAAAAAGTCAACCTTCGTCGCTGGACGATGAGAGGGATTCGCGCGATGCTTGTCGCTAGCACCACCACCACCACCACGTTCCCACACACTCGCACTCCCCCCTTTTTCGCTCGACCCCAACCAACTGCTCTGCTCCATCATGTCGCTGCTCACCACTACGTCAGCACCGGCAGGAGGTCTAAAATCCCGCCTATTGGAGCCATTCTTTCCGCTCATCTTGCTAGCCGCACTGCTCTACTATGGTCTTGTGGGAGCGATCCTGCTGCAAGTCCGAGCAGCCACGCTAGACCTGAAACCGTGGAAGCTGCTCAGTCCATGGGCTTGGAGAGATGCCGTCTTGGCCCACGGATTTCCCATCATCTTGGAGGGATCGGACAAGACGTGGAAGGAGGTCAAGGATGAGCTGATCAGGGCTAATGCGAGCGGCAAAGTGCTGGAAGTGGGAGCGGGAAGCGGAATGACGCTCAAGTACTACGATACGGACAAGGTGCGTGGTGGTGAATAAATACAGAGAGCGGCATGGATGGATGGATGTCGCTCGTTGATGGCCCGCTGGTGTAGTCAGTCGAAACCGCGCGACCACGCAATCGAGGCGGGCAGGGCTGTGCTGTGCTGTGCTGTGCTGCTGGGCAGCATATATGATGCAGCAGCAGCAGCAGGCGCAATTTTGAATGATCGCCGCCGCGCCCCTCGCGCACGCCCGAACCCGTCAGTCACGAGTGTTTCAAATGTGACTCGTCTGAAACGCATTCACGATCGCATCCATTATACCTACGCCTTGCTTTGTTGGGCAGCGCCCGCTGACAGCATCGCGCCTTATAACCGCCCGC